AGGAGATGTTCAAGAGCAATTCTCTTCAATTTGTTCTTTAGGCGGCTGTTATCTCTTTCTAAATTTGAATCCAAATTTCAGTAGTGTATCAAACCCAAAATCCACCTCATGACAAGAAAATGAAGCAAACTAAAATTCAACTTAAGCAATCAGAAGCCTAAATTATCACTTGAACCCCAAACTCACCACATGACAAGCAAATGAAACATAACCAATTCAAATTAAGCTACTCGAAGCCAACTCTCACTTGAACCCAAAATTCACTTTATGACAAGTAAATGAAGCAAACTCATTCGACATTAGCTACTATAATCCAAATTTTACAATTGAACCAAGAATCCATCAAATGAAAGAAGAAGAAAAAAACCCAACTAAACACAAACTATTAGAACCAATTACACCTTTAACCCAAAATTCATCACATGGAAAGCAGGTGACGCAACCCCAAATCAACTTAACCCATTAGAACCTAAAGTTACAACTAAACAATTAAAAAATACAAGAAATTGAATGAACTGGAAGTGCAAAAGATACATACATCTAATTCGAGTAAAATCCACTCTTTTGTATTGGTACCACTGGATCAGTGATTTCTGAGGTCCGAGTCAAGTACATGGGAAGCCTTCTGTAAAGGTGATTCTCGAGACATACCCTTTACTTTAAAAGCTAAAGGCTTTACCCTCGGCTCTAACTCCACCTCCATTTTTTTGCTCCGCCGCAACTCGACTGTCAACTGCTTAGATACAGACGAACGGAGAGTATGAATAGACTTGAAGAGTATCGAATTTTTCACTGAAAAATCTCTCTCAGTTGAGTAAATCCCAGTTATTTAGACATGGAAAGGACCTCCTCACTAATCCGGATGAACAAACGGGGCCCCGACTAGCTAAAGGGGATGAACTTTAATTGGGTTTTGGAGTTTTCCTTAACTTAAATAATTTACCATTTATGGATTAACAATTGGGAAAATTAAAGAAAATATCTATTGGGTCAAAAATAATATTATCCAAAATGACTCAAAGCTTATTAAAGATGAAATATTATTTATTTTAGAGTTATTTAAAATGTGGAATTATAATATTCAAATTTGTCACGCCCCGAGCCTACACTCTGGGCGGGACTGGCACTCGGCGACCATTTCTGTCCCCAAGCGAACCCTTGGCCTGGCTTACTTAACTCAGCGGAAGACTTAACTCAATGAAACAGTCTCAAATAACAACTTAAAGAATAATAAGTTGGCCAAAATGACACTTAAGTCTTAAACAACATCTGAAAGATAAAGAAAGACATCTGAACTAATAATTATCTGACTGTCTATGAAGCCTCTAAAATACTGAGATGGATGTTGAGACAAACCCCACAACATCCTAATAAATGAAAGACTGAAAGCGAATAAAAGAGTCCTCCGGAATGCAAGGAGGCTCACCACTGACTCTGAACTGCTCAACTGGATCAACGAGGTGTTGGATGCTGATCCTAGTTACCTGCGTCTGCATCATAATAAAATGCAGGCCAACTGGCATCAGTACATTGAATGTACGAGTATGCAAGTTGGAATGCTAAACCACGCATAGGCTAGAAGGAATCTGAAAAAAACTGAATAACTTACATGGCTCACTCAACTCAACCTGACTGACTCATTTCAATATAAAACAATTTAAAACAAGTGCAATATAAAGAAAAGTTGTTTAAAACATGCTATAAACTCTGTGTGTATGCAAAGATACAATAAATTTGAGATGTATGTAGAAATACAAATGAACTGATGTATATAGAAATACAATAATTGTTGTGGGAGTTTCTCTAACCGACAACCATCACATAAAAGCTATAGTGATGATACAACGATCAACCTCACGCTGCCAGAGCATCCTATACCCGGCCAAAGGTATAAAACTTAAACTGCCTAATGGATCCACTAGTCTAATTTGAAAAGGATTCATCTAAAAAGTATGAACCTCTTCTACCCATGATGGCTACATGGTTCTATGGGGGTTGTGGGTTCTTTGAACGCTCCCCTAATTCGATGCTCAATACTACTTCCAAAAATGTACTGGCTCTTATGTTTTAAAACATATTTCCTCTGTGATTTGAGATTAGTGCTCAAAAACTTAGCTCAAAGGCTATCTTGGAAATCTAAGTTCCCCTTCTTACTTCATTTAGAAAGCTATTACTCTTTTCTGAAAACTAGCCCGAAGGCTCTTTGGAAATCTCAGTTTCCGTTCTTATTTAAATGTGAAAACATTTTAAATCTCTTTGGGAATACTTACTCCCCATATACTTTTGAAGAAATGAACTTCAAACTTTACTTTTTACTCTTTACTCAACTTGAACTTTAAGTCTTAAAACAAAGTTAAAACATTTGGAAAAGACTTTTGGAAAACTCTAAGAACTCATCTTGACTTGACTCTTACTTCTCTTGACTTTGGTCTTAACTTTCCTTGAATTGAATTATGGATTCAAGGTTCATGGTTCATGATCTTATGTTTATGGATGATTTCATGATGTTTAGATGTATTTTAAAATGTTAGAATTGACTAGGAAACATAGGTACATCACTTAGGAACACGTACGAGAAAGTGGGGAACGAATGGGGAGAACTGGCGTTCCTGGTGCTTTGAGAGGCGTGGGGCGCCAGGACCTAAACCTCAGAGAGCTGGGTGGGGCGCTCTGGCTGGGGCAACGCGCCAGAGGCAAAACCTCAGAGAACATTTTGGGGCGCGTTGAGAGGCGCGACGCCCCAACCCCTGTACCCAGGTGTTCTCGACTTTTCTCCTTCGTTTTTCATCTCTAAACCCTCCAAACTTCCATGATACTTTCCCCAAACCCCTAGGATCAATTGTATCCTCAATATACAACCAATCTAACTCGCAAAACAACCCGGAAACATGAATCAATTCAACACTAGGCATTCAACAATCAACCTACAAGAATTCAACAATGTTCTTCAAGAACTTCACTTTCTTAACATTCAAACAACTCCAATTTCGCTGAATTGAAACAAGTTAGTGTGTGGGTGAACTAACCCAACACGAAAGAACTCTCACATACCTTAATAGGGATCACCCCCGACGAACTCCACTCGCAAATCTTGAATGATCTTGGCTAATTCTTGCCTTCTTCTCCCGTTCTTTCTTTCTTTCTCTCTTCTCCAAGCCCTAAGCGTATTCTAACTTTTCAAAACTGAATTAAGTTCTGTTTTTACCCCTATAAATCCCTAAAAACGAATTAGGAAATTAATTAGGGAAAAGACTACTTTGCCCTTCCCTAAATCCGGATTGAAACTTTCCTCGATCCAACAACCCAACTTACGGAAGGCATATCTCACTCATACAATGTCGAAATCGTGTAATCTTGGCGGCGTTGGAAAGATCTCTCCAAGGGATTTCCAAACATATCAAGAGCTGCTCCTAACTTCTCCTGAGCTAGGAGTTATGGTCGTTTGAAAATAGTCAAAATTCACTTTCTTAACTTAGACAAAATTTTCAGACTTCCTTATTCTTTCCAAAAATCAATATTTCCATATTTTAAACTCTTTATAGTCGTTTCTAGGTGCGAGATGTTACAAAATCAAACAATCATCTCAAAGTTTAAAAAATAAGTAACATCGAAAAATCAAACGAAAATATAACTTAAAATTTATCAAAGATAAGGACATACAATATTTTTAGGACTATTATTTAAAATTATAAATATTTACTAAAAACTAATAATGTAACGATTACGTATATATTTGGAGGGAGGACTTCCTACCTATGAAGACCACAAATATGATTTTTTTTAGATAATTCGAGAAGTCACGCTAAAAATATTGATTTTTAAGTGGGCTAATTCACAACTCGTAGCTTGTTTAAAAATAATTAATATTTTTTTTAATCTTTGTTGATATACCAAAAAATAGTAAAATAAAAAATGATAGAAAAATCACTTTGGGTAAAAAATGCGAGTAACAATCATTGAGGATAAATTAAGAGAAAGTAGATTGAGATGATTTGATCATGTCTTATGTTAACTTATATATACATCTAAAGCATATTTTCACGCTACAAAATAAATTGCAACAATAGATGGCACCAATATCCTACCAACTTGCATTGAGCGAACTATTATAACATATTACGTACCTCATTTCTTATGAATAAGCTCATCCCAGCCATATAAGTTATATGTATGTATCATGTATGAAGGATCCAAGAAGATTTATCAACCACTTTGATTGGTTAGATAAAATGCATTTATATCTTTTTAAAAGAAAATCATGATCATTTGTCAAAATAAATTATTATCATAAATTTTATTCTTGAGAAAATCACACGTCTTATTAATTCACCTTCTTATAATTAGGTTAAAAACTCATTATTTAACTATAGAGCAAATCATCCACACATGATGCACGAGATCACATTTAAATATTGTTATCAAAATGTGAGTTGATGGTTAATCTACCTCAACGCCAATTCTTTTTATTATAATTAAGCTAAGAGTCACTCCAACCATATCAAATAATTTTAACAACTTCAACCTACATAAACTAATTCATATCTATTTTTTAATCAATTAAAAGTGTTTTACACTTGGATTAAGTTTCTGAAATTTCACATCCTTCGTTTTAGGTGATACCTAGGTGAATCACCAAAAAAAAAAAAAAGTATTCTAACAACGACGTTAATATACTTATTGAGCCATATAAGTTCATCATTTAAAATTTACAAACACGATTTATTATGACAGAGCTAATATTTTTTATTATGGTGGCCCAAAATATTATTTTTTTAGCAAATCTTTATCCATAACCTTGTGGGTAGGACCTGAAAAACCTCTAACCTCCCTCCTCTTACCAACCACCCTCAAACATGCACAACTAAAATGATACCTCTTCTTTACTTTCAAGATTACCCCACAAGAAAACCCCTTTTTCAATAAATACATATATGTATCTCCCATGACTCAAAGATATAAACCCAAAAGAAGAAGAAAAGAAGAAGAAGAAGAAGAAGAAGAAGAAGAAGAAGAAGAAGAAGATTTATGGAGCAATCAAGTAAATGGATGATATTGATAGCAAGCACATGGATTCAAGCATTTACAGGGACGAATTTCGACTTCTCCTCATATTCCTCTGATTTGAAATCTGTTCTTGGAATTTCACAAGTGCAGCTCAATTATCTGTCTATGGCTTCAGATTTTGGGAAAGCATTTGGGTGGTGTTCTGGGGTCTCTCTTATGTATTTCCCATTATGGGTTGTTCTTCTCATTGCTGCTTTCATGGGACTTGTTGGGTATGGCCTTCAATGGCTTGTCATTCAAAGAATCATCTTTTTGCCTTACTTCTTGGTCAGTTTTTTCCTCTCACCTCTCTTTTCTTGATTGGAAATGAAATTTGGGAACTTAATCCATTTTTTGCTGTTCCCTGTATATTCATTGCTTGCTTCTTTCTCTGTAACAATTTCTTCTCTCTGGATTCTTTGGTGGACTGGTGGTTGACAGTTGTTGGAGCTACCACAAGAAATTAGCAAACTTTATTAGATCTAGAAATGACTTTTGGACAACCCCCTTTGAAGTACTAATCAAATAATCTCCTGTAAAATAAACCAAGAATGTCCATCAAGTGAAGTTAAATGATATGTAGAAGGCAAATTAACTTAATTTATCATTTATGAGGTTTCTCATTAGGTGAAAGGTCTTTCTGTTAACAACTATACAGGGACTGCCTCCAAGGAGAACATTTTATCCTCAATCACCTTCCATTCTAGTCAGTTAAATTTTGGTGCTTGAAAACTTCTTTCCAAATCTTAAAAAACTTCAAGATTCAAGTGGTTCTTGAGAAAGATGCCTTTGTAATCAACTGAAATTGAAAACTACAGAAATTCAAGATATTACATGATTATTTTCTTCAGCTCTTTACTTCACTGTGCTTGAAACTTCGTTGGGATCCTATCCTGTTCTCAAGCTTTCACTGATAAATCTTGCAGGTATTTCTGTTGTGTGTGCTGGCTGGCTGCAGTATCTGCTGGTTTAATACAGTATGCTATGTGTTGTGCATCAAACATTTCTCGGCAAATAGGCCAATTGCATTGTCCCTCAGCATAAGTTTCAATGGTGCAAGTGCGGCCCTGTACAACCTCATTGCCAATGCCATTAATTCTGAAGATGACACTCTGTACCTTCTTCTTAATGGCCTAGTCCCCCTTGTCACATCAATTGCAGCTCTTCCAATCCTCTGGCAACCTCGATCTCAAACCCTTCATGCTGATTCTGTTCACAGAGAATATCTCAATTTCCGCTGTCTTACCATACTAGCAGTGTTTACCGGCCTTTATCTCTTAATCCTAAACTCGGTCTCATATAGTGCACAGACAGCTCGTATTCTCTTGGCTGGCGCAGTGTTCTTGCTGGTCCTACCGGTGATTGCACCAGGGGTTATCTGCACAGAAGAATGGTCTGAACTGTTCCATCCTAATTATATTTCACTTGAAGACAATGATACTGATGATCTTGAGATGCTCAATGAATTGATTTGGAAAGAGGCTTCAAGTATGAATGTTTGGACGGAAAATTCTGATGAATCAAAAGAGAAGGGAAGTTGGACTAGCAGTTTTCTGTTGAGAGATCGTTTGTTGCTGCTTGGAGAGGAACATTCAGCAAGTCTGCTCATGTGTAGGTTGGATTTCTGGCTATATTACCTAGCATATTTCTGTGGGGGAACACTCGTACTTGTTTACAGCAACAATCTAGGCCAAATTTCAGAGTCACTTGGATATAGATCGGAGATCAGCTTCTTTGTTGCACTCTATTCTGCATGTTCCTTCTTCGGGCGCCTGCTTTCAGCCGCCCCAGACTTTCTACGCAAGTAAGTATTTCAAGATTTACTGTTCTTAATCACCATTATGGGAAAAAAACTGACAGCTGAAATGGTTTTTTGGTTGCAGCAAGATGAACTATGCAAGGACCGCGTGGCTTGCATTTGCACTGATTCCTACACCACTGGCCTTCTTTCTGCTTGTTTTATCAGGAAGCAAAGCTGCATTGAGTGCTGCCACAGCATTAGTTGGGTTGAGCTCTGGTTTTGTATTTTCAGCAGCAGTGTCAATAACCTCTGAGCTGTTCGGCCCCAACAGTGCCGGAGTCAATCACAACATTCTCATTACCAACATCCCTCTGGGATCACTACTCTATGGACTTCTTGCAGCTATAGTCTATGAAGCAAACCTAGGGAAACCAGACCAAGTGCTTGTATTGGATGGATCAAAAGTTTGCATGGGTAGGAACTGTTACATTCAGACATTTATGTGGTGGGGATGCATCTCTTTATTGGGAATAGCATCTAGTTTTCTGCTTTTCCTAAGAACTAAAGCTGCCTATGACAGTCAGGAAAGGAACCGAAATTGGATGAGATTAACCTGAGTGGAATTATCTTTCTGGACTGACTTGTGACGGCAATACGAAGATAGATGCCATTGGAATCACTACCTCATGCCACAATTAACAGCAATCCAGCATAACATTCTGCCAAAGGGTGGAAAGAAGTATAACTTTTGACACAATGGCAGGACAGATGCATTTATCATGAGGGTGATGAGACAAGAAAATAAACCCAAGCAGGCTAGCATACTCTACCTTTTGCATGATTAGGGAAGAGAGGTGAATTGAAAATTGTAGAGGAATACACAGAAAGAAATGATGAAAGTTGATACTTGATGGAATAAGACTGTTGGAAGTTACAAGTTTTGCTGACAAGCTATGCTGGCTTCTTCTACAAAAGGTAAATCCCCCAATGAGATACTAAAATACTGTCATCTGTCAAGTTCCCACTTGATCCTGCAAGTCTATAGTCTATACTGCTTGCTTTGATGGCAATCGTTGGTCATTTGCTTGATTGGAAGGACTGATGCAATTATACCTTTCCAGTTCTTGCAGGAAGGTTGGCTAGAGATTTCTTGTAAAAACATTAGCCTTGACGAGGTCATAATGAGAATATTTTCATCATTGAATCTTTTTTGATTCTATGTATTACTCTCCCTTCAACTAAACTACGAAAGAGGGTTGATCACCTGAATCCAGAAATTCTGTGAAATCTCCCCTTCCTCAATAGTTGAGGAGAGGAAGAAGAAAATCAACTACCATGTAAAAGTAATGAGAATGCAGTTATTTTCTTGACCGTCTTTGAAAGATTCTGCATGATGAATACAATACTGATGAGGAAAATAGAGAAAACTAGTACTATCGACAGGTTCTACAGACAAAAGATGAAGAAGCATTAGAAGAAGGTGAAGCATCAGGATTTCAAACACAAAAAGTATGATTATTTTCTTATATCGACATGTTAACAGGCATGTGATTGTCAACATATTGCTGAATTCCATACTTAGGACACAACCAGAAGATAAAGACATGTTAATAGGCATGTGATTGTCAACATAATTGCTAAATTCCATATTTAGGATACAACCAGAAGATAACCATAGAGTCACAATTTAGACAATACATACACAAAACAAATACTAGAAAGTTGACTCTTTTAAAGAAAGCGAGACTGCATCCACCTGAGATAGGTTAATAGAACTGCAGATGTATCTTGCAGAAAATAAAACTGACTAAATACGGTTCCAAATCTTGTCATTAATCTACAACTTCCAACAGTAAGAAGATCGAGTACTTTTAACCAAGTAGTATTGGGTTGTCACTGTTTGCACCCTCCTCATCTTCAGGTTTCAATTCAGCTGGGAAATCACCTCTGAGAATCTGAACTCTGAAATGGATTTTGCTAGCGCTGCACTCTAACAGTTCAAACACAAGTCCATCCCCTCCTTCAGATTATTATCATCCACAAACTTTCTCCACTCAATGCTAAATTTGTGACCAGATTTGACTCCACCGTAAAACATATCCCACTTCTTCTGACCACAAGTAAGGACTGCACTGACTGCACGAGCTCCAGCAGAAGGAAGCTCACTAGTCATTTTCTTGGGTAAATACTGTCAAACATTCAAAGAAATTTAGTAATATAAAAGCCACAAGAACACCAAAAATGGAACCTTATGTCTGAGTATAACTATATATATTTATTTATATATACATTTTCATAGTTTATTTTTAACCCTTCTTTAGGAACTCCCACTTTTTTCTCCACCATATCTAATCTTGAATTCACCACAAAAAATCTTCTCTTTTGGTGGCTACCCACCAGTTGTCAATACCCACATTGGGTTCCAACTAAATTTGAGTCCTCACCAGAAAATCCCATAACAAAGTCGACTCAGTACCCTACAAAGAATCATCTTTAAACAGATACTAACAAAGGGGCGCGAGGAAGGGGAAAAAACGGGAGTTACCATACTGTAGATGGGCTTGACACCGGTCTTTGTGAGAATCAAATCAACATAGGGTTTCCCAGAAAGTGGCCAGTATTCACCATTGTCGATTTCTGGAATTCCAGAGCTTTCAATCTCGGGTTGTTTCATGGTGGAGTAACTATGTTTGTGGTTTGAAACACGTTCAAAGGATGATCTGCTCTGAAAAAATCAAGAGAATCATGCAAGCTTTAAAATCTACAGGGCTGTCGAAATTCGAAATAAAGAAAAAAATATCAGAGAACTTTGTTACAGAATGATGAGAATGTACCTCCATAGTCGATTTGATCAGATGATTGGAGTTCTTGTTCTGGCGAACCAGTTTACAGAAAGGGTTTTGGGTTGCCATGTATCCGTATATCTATTGAAATTCGATTAAATTTAAATTCACGTTGAATATTTTAAATTGAGGAGTAACATCGCTACTTAACAATTGAAATTCGACTAATTTGAATTTTACAAGTCGTGAAAATTTTAAAAAAGAAATAATCAAATTCTTATATTATCTTACGAAATTGGCAAAACTATAATTCATAAACAAAAATATCAAAATATGGTGTGACTAAATTATACCCAATATTTTACGCAAAGAAGAGGATATGTGTTTAAGGCTTACACTCTGTTTGGATCATTATTACCCATTGTATTGTATTGTATCGTTACCATACCTACAATCTACAATGTTTGTTTTGATTGTTAGTTAAAACGTATTGTATTATATTGTTAAATTTCATTGTTACGTAACAATGAAAACCCCCATTTTATGGAACAACCGATTTGGTGTGTTCCCATTGTTACTTAATTTCTTTTTTCAATTATATCATGGCATAATATTTCATAATACTTTTTTACCCTTTACCATATATTATTTAATTCTAGTCAAACCTCCTACCCTAGAATAATTAAAGATATTTTAGTAAATTTATAAATTACAATACTGTACGATACAATCAAACCAAACAATAAAAATGTTATTAGACAATAACAAACAATACAGTCTACTCAAACATTGTATCTACCATATAGTATAGTACAATAGAGTACAATACAATACAGTACATTATGAAACAATGGGTAACAATGATCCAAACATAGTGTTAAGCTTGCTGATTAATTGTGGATGTGTTGTTTTATTGTTAATTATGTTACATAATTAAATGCAATGTCCTAAAAAATAATTTTTAAAATAAGAAAGAATTGATTGAATGCAAAGTCCTAAATTGATTAATGTGAAAGATAAATAGTGATTACATAATGGACTAATGTTTTAAAATACCCTGATCCAAGGATGAGAGATTAGATTAAAATAATAATAATTCTATCAATGAAAATAATAACTTATAATAACTCTATTGAAAAAAAAAGTTTTACAATAATTATACTTTATTCATATATTTCTCATGTAATTATCTATTCGATTACAAATAACTGCACAATTGCACTACATTTTCTTTCTCATTCTTCTTACTAAGAGTATTCATGCTTTTAATATAATTAATTTATGTGAACATGAATTGCACGTTAATATCGAGCCAACTAGCCAATAAAAATGATCTATAAGGTATCAGAGTTATAATTAGATATCAACTTAAAGTACAATTTTGAAATTAATATAATTTGATATTTCAGCTACAATTTAAATGTTGCAAGCAAGTTAATTGCACTCATATCAAAATGGATGAAAACATCATCACTGGAGTTTCAGAGAGATAGAATCAAATATGAGCCAATAGATAAACCACATAAATGAGAAAACAATATCAATAAAATGAGACATACATCATACATGAAATTATTGGTACTAATAAAGGTTTTTTTGGGAAATTGAAACTACTAAAATTGATAGAAGTTTTTTTTTTTTGAATTAAAACTACTAAAATTAATAAGTTTTTAACCAAGTATTATTGGGTTGTCACTATTTGTACCCTCCACATCTTCAGGAATCAATTCAGCTGGAAAATCACCTCTGAGAATCTGAACTCTGAATTCAATTTTGCTAGTGCTGCACTCTGACAGTTCAAACACAAGTCCATCCCCTTCCTTCAAATTGTTACCATCCACAAATTTCCTCCATCCAGTGCTAATAAATTTATAATTAGATCTGGCTCCACCGTAAAACAAATTCCACTTCTTTTGACCACAAGTAAGAACTACAGGGACTCCAGCAGAAGGAAGCTCTTTGTTCATTTTCTTCGGTAAGTACTATCAAACATTCAAAGAAATTCAATAATATAAAAATCACGAGTCCAGAAGAACACAAAGCTTTCAACTATATATATATATATATATATATATATATATATATATATTAAAACCTAAACTTTAAGCCTAAAACCTATGGCATCTAATCTTAAAATTTAACACTGTGAATAATTTTTTTTTGTGTTTTTTCACTTGGTATCTGGTACCGAGGAAATGAGATCTCTATAACTTGAAATTTTGTTATTTAGAAAAATTAACCTTTTTAAATCTTTTAGTTTAAAAAATAAAGATCTCTTATGTATAAAATTGAGAATCTCTCGTAAAAAAGACATACAATTAATTTTTTTTGTAAAGGGCTAGAAAATCATTTCTCTATTCAATACCCATATTTCCAATAAATTGGATCCACCTCAAAAAGTCCCACATTGGTGTAAAAAGTTTCCAAAAACAACATACTCATTACGAGAACTCTAATTAAGGATGATCGTCATTACTACAAAGAATCATCTTTAAGCAAATGCTGAAAATGGAATGCTTTATATAGAATGTGGAGGGGAAAATGAGAGTTACCAAACTGTAGGTAGGTTTGACGGCGCTCTTAGTGAGAATTATATCAACGTAGGGTTTTCCAGAAAGTGGCCAATATTCATCATTATCAATTTCCGAGCTACCAATGCTTTCCATCATGATGGATTTACCTTTCTGGTTTGAAACACATTAAAAATCAAAGAAGAATATAAGTTTTTAAATTAACACGGGGTGTCAAAAATCAAAATAAAGAAAAACAGAAAAAGAGAAATTTGTTAAGAATGATTGAAATGTACATTCATGTCGATTGATTAGATGATTGGAGTTCTAGTTATGGTTTGATTCTGTGTACAAAGAGTACACAAAAACCCTAGAACTGTCAAGAGTGGCTAGTTTGGGTTTTGGGAGTAGGGGGTAGGGTTCCTAGTGTTTTCGAAAAACACTCAAGTACTTTTTTTTTGTTAAACACTTATTCCTATTTACTTCTTTATATAATATTATGCATCGTACATAAAGAGGTGGTCACATTACTACTAGCACGAGATTATTCTAGCCTAAAAAATTATAGACTCAAATTATATAACGACTTATTAAAACTGGAAAAAATAATTATTTCTTTGTCTTCTTTTAAAGTTTTAACATAAATAACGTGGGCTTTTGTTTGTTTGCTTTTGGAGTTTTAATACAAATAACGTGAGATGTTTGCCTGTTTACATATTTTTTAACACAATAACACGAATTTTACTTGTTTTTGAGTTTTTAACACAAATAATGTGGGTCTCTTGAGTTTCAAACACTGATAACGTGGGTCTCTTTGGCTGCTTTTGATGTTTTAATACAAATAACGTGGGGTCCATGTCTTCTTCTGAAGTTCTAAACTCAAATAATGTGACTCTTTACTTGCTTTTGAA